TCTATTATCGTGAAAGTGTCCAAGTCACAGAGGAGAGTCAAGGCTCACGGTGAAGCTGAAGTGAGCTCGAACAGCATCAAAAGAGAGTCCGCGTTGGCAAGGAGGGTTTTCGTAATCATCTTAACAGACTTTAGCTGCTGGATTCCTGTAATAATTCTGAGTATTCTTGCTCTAACGGGCAAATTTCACGATGAACAAGGTGTGGCGTATGTATGGTTTGCCGTCTTTGTTCTGCCGGTAAATTCCTCTGTGAATCCTGTACTCTACACTTTCTCGACTCCAAAGGTGAGGATGATATTTACCACTTTTCGCTTTTCAGTAGTATTTTTTTTCCAATGGGCCCAGAAAATTTGCAGTTCCTACGCCAATTATATTACACTAAAACTGTGGGCATTAAAGATGGTTACATGTAGCTACTATTCTTCTCATCATCTTCGTAGCCAATCTTTTGGTTTGCTTGGATTTATATAATTTGCATGATTATTCCTAATCGACTCTACGTCGAAATCAGTAATTTTCTTTCTAATTTTGAGAGGTTTTAAAACTTTTTTTAGGTAAGGACAGTCCTTGTAAGCTGGTTTTATCGCCTTGTGACTGGCTGTAAATGGTTCAGCTGCAAGAAACGATCTGATGGAATTGCTATATCTGGTAAGGGAAAGTTAAAACATTTTTTGAAGATTATATTGCTTGTTCCAAGATGAAAATGGTTCTAGTTATTGGATAATTTTTAATTTGAAGTAGAATCAGAGTATTCGTCGTACTTATTTTGTGGCTATGTCCCCTGGCAATGATTAAATGAAATGTTTATTTTAACTGAAGACCCAATTACCGTCTTTATTTGCGTCTATTTAGTACTGGCACGCTTCTTGACTTCTGGGAAACATTTTTTCGAGAAAAAAATTTTTCGGTGATAATCATAGCAATATAGGCGCAATCTTTCGTTTTAAAAACAGTCAAAACAAAGAGCACCACCAGGGTTGTGTTATCTATTGTAAACGTAGAGAAAGTTTTATAAATAAAATCTTCGGTTTCATTTTATTTTTCTTTTAGTTTTTCGGTAGTATTTCTATGAGTTGACTATTAACATATGCACACTTCATTGAGGTAGATGGAGACGGAACACAACTCGACACCACGTGTTACAACAGTATCTCTTTAGACGTCACATCCAACTATCCTCCCAGCAACAACTGACTTCCTTTGGTGACAGTTAATACAGAAACGTGGACAGGTGGAGATATTGATATGCGCTGATGGGGAACGATGAAGCCTTGTACATCCCTTTTTAAGAAGTGTTAATACTCTTGATCGAAAATGGCATTTTTCAGTTTGCTTTCTGCCTGACACCATATATTAAACCTCTTTATTAGTTAGCTGAGTGCTCAACACTCATAGGTAATTTTTCTTATTAGCTGAATTTTTCAGAAACGTTCTGAAATTTATCAGAGGCTTAATAATTTAGACAGCGGCTTCGAGAAAACCCGGTAGTGGTAATAATTCAACAACCCCTGATTTGGCTCCATTGTGGCACAAATGTTTGGTATCTTGAGCTAGGAACTGTAATTTTTGAACGCCGAAATAAAGTTAATTTCCTGGGAGATATGGGGTCCCCTGGAAAACCTCCACTTTATGCATTTTTTGAATAACTGTTTAGCTAAAGTCGCTTTGCTCCTGTAACAAACAGGGAAGCCATCTAAATATACTAGGTTATGTTCTATATCTGCTAGACTTCAAGCGCAATAAACTAATGAAAATTGTCCATTTTATTTCTTTCCCTACTCCCCCGTAATGTAAAGACAAATTTTCCTTTTTTGACAAAGTCCAAAATGAGGGTTTCTTAGCGCCCAATATCTCCACTGAGCAATCACTTCTGATCATCATTTCTACATGGGTAGTGAAAACCATAACTTAACTTCCAAAAACAGAAAAAAACTTTTAGGCAACTAGTCTCATTATCCGAGCATTATCACACTCTGCCAGGTTCCGCCTGGTTTTCTCATGAACATTCCCTAAACAAGTTATAGTAGTAGTCAATAATCACTGAATTACTACGAAGCAAGACAGGGTAAAGTTATAGTCTCAGTGTCATTTATTTTAAGAGATTACCGTAACGTTTATCTGTGGTTTATTATTTGATCCAGACGGCATTAGACAACCCTGCATCAGATAGGGTCTAATTCTTAGTATTTCTTTCGCAAAACGCCAAAACATTAACTATTTATGTTATCAGTTCAATATTGGCCTCCTCAAAGGCAAGTGCGCTTGAAAAAGTAGTTTTGCGGCGTAGTATAAATTTTATACACGAAAAAAAAAATTATTTATCACCTGGGGGAAGAGGGGGATGGAGAATTTTGTATGTGTCACGATGAAAATTTACTTATTACCCTCTTTGGCAGTTGCTGGGCTGTCAATTTCTATAGCCCCCCCCCCTCCCTCGACATGTTGGCGAGGACTGGTCCCCCCTACTTTCCCCTTGAAAACCATGTGACCCACCCAAAAAGAAAAATTGTCCACCTTCCCTCCGATGATAATTAATGACTAGTCCCTAAGTCGAGTTTAAATCTTGATAAGGCATCCTCAACCTAACGAAGTATACTAGGTCATTTACATCACCACATCATCGTGATCAGTTCAGATATGTAATTTGTGCCGAATTCGTCAAACTCTCTATTAAAGAATTCAGTGATAGCTTGAATTTTACAAACCTAGTTATAACCATTACCACTCGCACAAAATACTGAAGAAAACAGCATTTGATCCTTTTACAAAATTTGAATAAAGACGTGACAATTGTCATTTTTATCACAAAGGGACAGTTTTTTCTTAACATAGTGTGATAATTGTTGTAATAAAATGAACCGCGACATTTTTAATTAGGATGAGCGACAAGTTTTACTGCAAAGTGCGACTGCTTTTCATAACAAAGTACGAGAAATATTACCAAGTGAGGCGATTATTACAAAGATCGACAGAACATACAGCTGCAGCACAAATGACCTGGACTTACGTTTTAAACCCTGTCGAAAACGTGAAAAAACTGTACCATGCTTCTTTATTAAGTCATGGTTTATTCAATTGATTTATAGATTCTTTACAGCGCTTCGGTTAACTCCCACTCGTAGCTACCAGCTTATTCGAAAGAACACACATGAAGCGTCTCGTTGTAAGCACGTAGAACATCGTCATATATAGGGCGATTAAACACTTGCCGCATACATGTTTGTTCGGTTCGTTCGATAAAACTCGCCGTGTCTTGTATCACTCGGTACTTTTTTTTCCCTTCATGATAGAAGTCAACGACAGCTTTCAGAACGCTCCTCGAAAGATGGGGATTGCGTGGCGTGGCGTGGCGAGGTCAGAAACAAGTTATCTATGAAGAAAGCTATTTTTAGGTAATGAAATATTAATTTAATGCCTTTCCAAACCACCAGTTCAGGCGATGCGAACAACGATAAAAATGACAAAAAGCGAATATTATTTGAAAACGAAGTGATTAGTTGCAAGTCCGGAGATTCTTGAGATCCAGAACTGTTCGTGGCAAGCGTCAGAAAAAGCGGCTGTTTGGTTGATTAAGTGAAACAAATATGCAAAAAAATAACGTGTACAAACATATATTCACTTTTAACCAAGCGCAACTACAAATTACATACACAGAATTAAAATCGAATGCAAAGCGAGGAGAATTTGCAGGTGGTTTTAATATGATTTGTGATGATCAAAAACGTCACAAGTTCCTAAAAATTCGTTTTGATAACTCTCAGAACATGTAGAAAGAGGGAGACAGCCTTCTCTCTTCAGTGTGCAGATGTGTCGAATTCCTCAAAGACTACATAATTCAGTGAGTTAAGCATTCATTTTGTCTTTCGTCACCAACCGGCGACGTGTTGATGGACAGGTGAAAAAGCAGAATAATAATAAGCAAATTAAAAAACTAATTTACAGCGGGATAGACGCAGCGTCTTTTCCAGAAAGCCGAAGGTTGAGAGTCCTTCGCCAGGGGCATATCAGCGGCAACCAAAGCATAAAAAGAGAAGATTCTTACGACTGAAATGAACAACTCCACGACAAATCTTCAAATCGGCCAATCAGAGTGTTTTTCTGCTGTCCCTTCTACCGTCTTCACAGTCGCTCTTTCAGTGATCACTGTTGTAGCATTTTCAGGAAACTTCCTCCTAATTGCAGCCTTCCTCAGAGCTTCAAACCTGAAAACAAGTTCTAATTGGTACATTATCAACATGGCCATTTCGGATGTGGTAAGCGTGCTCCTTAATTGGCCGCTCTATGCTACGGAAGGGATGTTAAAGCCTGGAGGAAGCTTAATTACTAATCAAGCAATCGCTACCTTTTTCTGCAAGTTGGGAATTTATTCTAGAGCTGTATTGTACGTGGTGTCGATTGAGAGCTTGGTGTTAATATCTGTGGATAGATTCATTGCGATTGTGTTTCCACTAAAGGCCATAAAGATCACTGCCAGGGTTCGGAAAATTCTTCTTCTTTTAAGCTGGCTTTTTCCTGTGTGTGGTGCCATACCATACTTTTATCATTCTAAAATCTTACTCGAAGGGAGACAGACGTTTTGTAGAAACTTTATGAACACGTTACTTTTTAAAGTGTATCAATTCGCAAGTTTCATTTTATTTTATTTTGCACCTCTGGTTGTACTATTAGTTGTTCATTATATTGGTTTTGAGCATCTAAAGAGGCGATTCGTGTTTGAAATCAGCAGTAATAAAGGCAGCACGCATGCACTGAGATCCAAAGAAAACCAGAACATTTTGAAAATCTTTCGAGCGGTGACTTTGGGATTTTTCATGTGCTGGACGCCTCTTTATATTTATTTGATTCTAAAATCGTCACATCCAACAATTGTTCTGAATGACAAATGTCTTTTATTTATTGGTTTGTTATACTATGTATTTCCATTGATCAGTACAGCAGTCAACCCATTTATTCTGATTTCACTTAGTTCTAATTATCGTGCAGCCGTAAAAGACGTGCTCGCTAAATGTTTTGCTGTCTTTAAGTGTCGCAACAACAAAATTTATAGTACAGAACAAGTCATAGACCTTCGATGATAGATAGTTATAAATTCGAAGGTAATTTGATGCGTTCTTGAACGGGAAAGGGTTTTGTTAAGTAAATAATAATAGCAAAAATGATAAAATAACAGACATGTTTTGCGCCTAAGAGCTCCGCTATTAACTTGGAGCTCATATGCACGACCGGATCCCTATACCTAAGAACATTTGGTCACGGCCGAACTAAAAATTATCATAAGTAGACGATGTATTATGTTAAACAAAGCGTAGGATATCAAACAAATTGTTGACTATCTTGTTATTTTTCAATAAAAACTTAGAGGGTTAAAATTCCTACAGATGGGGTAACAATATAGGGTAGGGTCGCATTTCACGACTGCATTGACTTTTATGGCATTGCATTTTCAGTAGAGTTACTAGAATGGGGTTACATATTTTTGAGATTTTAGGCGTAAGAAAATTATGGCAAGTAAGGATGCATAAACAGGAAAATTTATGGTTAAAAAGTTGTTACCTTATTAAATATTTAATAAACGGC